ATACACAGGCAACAACAACAGCAACAAGGAAACAGTCTTGTTCAGGTCACCCCCACATGCACGGACGGCCACCCTCAAAGAGAGAAACAGGCGAAAAAAATGCGAGTCGCAAATAAAAAAAAGAAATGGTAGCGCGGAAGTGGTGCGCGCTTTTTTTTCGACCATTTTTCCAATGATGGATTTTCGAAATTTTAATGGTTGCTCGCGGATGAGCAGCCGCTGAAGAGCAACGAAGTCGTCGCTGTCGTCGTCGTTGGCGGTGGCGGTGGCGGCGACGTCGGCATCAGCGCTAGCGTCGTCTGCTGTTGTGAGGGTTGTGTTTGTGGGTGGGTGTTTTTTTTTTTTTTTTGTGTTTGCTTCATTTCCATTGTTTGGCGGCCATTGAGGGTGACGGCGGCGCCAACCGAAAAAAAAGCTATGCTGTGTGTGGAACTTAAGGGATGGAATCGATATTTGTTTTCTATATCGCACACGTACACACACCCACACACACACATACACACAGCAGAGACCACCCAACCACCCATGCAGAGCAGCGACGCGGCCTAATCTAATGCGCCTCGTGTCTCAGGGGTCGCTGGCAGCTACATCGTCAGCGTCATCGTCATCTTCATCGTCGTCGTGATGTTTACCGTTTGTAGCTTTACGGCCTAGCAATCAGCAGAGCCAGAACCAGACCCACCACCCACTCAATCCGATTCGCACCCCCCGGCCGCACCCGCACCCGCTCCCGCACCTAATCAATATGCGCACAAATGATAATTTTTAATGGCTTCCGAACGCGTTTGTTTACGAGGCTCGCCTTCGCAACCTCCCTCCCACCCTTCGCTGTCTCACCCCCAATTGATTTGGCCATACATATTTGATTTTGCGCGCCTTGTGCAAATTTAATTTTAATGCTGGGCCGTCGCGAACGCCAAACGCCAAACGCCACTAAACGGAAATTTAATTTCCAAGCAAACTTTAGATGCTGCCGCTGCTCCTTAAAATATTGTCAGTTTCTCAGTTTCTCAGCCACTACTACATCGCTGGTTCAGACTGAGACTCCGATTCCGATTCAGGCTCAGACTCAGACCGAGCCCCGACTCAGACTCGTTTGATGCCTTCCATATGCCGCTGATTTAAGCGCTGCGTGGCGCATCTTTTTTGTTGTTGTTGTTGTTGCTGTTGTTTTATTTTGTTGTCTTGCCTCACGAAATTTAAATGCTAATTGCTTTTTAATACTGTAATTTTGGCTGCTCGCCGCTGTTGAGCTTATTGCGGATTAATTTTACAAGCTAATTTCTTATGTAAATGCCGCAGCAAGGCGTTGCATGTTCTCGGGGCGTTTCTGTGGCAGCGCATGTGAGGTCCGGACGGACGGCAGGTAAGCCTTGTAAAAATGGTAATTCGAAGGCGTTTGGTGTAATTAGAAGGCAATTTAAGTTATCATAAATATATCAGGGGCAGCTTAAGACTAAGTGGCGTGCGGTTGCCAGGCGGGGCCGAAGCGAAACTTTTGTAAAACATGCCCCAAGGCGTGTGCAAAAGCAGCAGCTACGCCGATAAGGCTAGCGCCGATAAGGGCATTGATTTAGTGTAGATTTATGTTCAAGCTTAACTTCATTGGCTGCATTCGTGCGCCGGAAATATCGATTACTTTACTTTATGGTTACAAAGCCGCTTTGCCAATTTCAAAAAAAGTTCTTTAAAGTATTTGTAGTCGGTCGTTTATAAGTCTGTTGAAGTTCCTAACTGAGACACACTTATTAGAGTCTTAAACAATATACTTATTTTACATTTTTTGTATATTTTCAAAATGTAAGCAATTAGAGTTCATTCTCATGCCATGCAACTATTCGAATAATTTTCAATCAATTATATTTTCAATCATTTTCATACTTTCCAGATTAACAGTTTTCCTCTTTGTGAGCTTACATTATTTAAGGAGTTGGCTCTTGCAGATTCAATTATTTGTTGTTCTCTCAGTTGTTCTTCATTTCCCTCAAAAGCCGGAACTTTCGATTACAATCGGATAATCACGGTTTAAAGTTAATTTGTTTTGTTACTTTTTTTTTGAATTCCAACAATTTTAGCAACAACAATTTGGGAGAATGATTCGAAATTATAAACAAAACGATTTCCAAACTGGTACGATCTCAGAAGATTAATTAACCGATCCTTTTATATTTTAGTAAAACACAAGTTTTAATACTAAATAGTGTGTGCCCTATTAAGCTAAATAAATTATGAATCCATTTTCTTCCAAATGCACTTTTTTTCAAACATATTTTGTAACTTTTTAAATATTATTTCTAATGCAAAACTCACTGTACGACAAAATGCTATCCAGGAAAGATAGGGAAGAAAAAAGGACAAAAGAGGAAGGAAAAAAAGGACAAAAAGGAACACAAGCCATCAAAGGTCGCTGATTATAAAAGTGAAATCGTATCCATGCTAATTTCGAGTCATCGTTCAAAACAACCAGAAATCCATCTGACAGCACACAACTATGAATGCTCGGCAGACAAACCCCAACAGACACGCGGAGCGACACAAACCGACAGATGCACGGCATATTAATCTCAAACAAACAGATAGCCAGCAATTTCCTATCATTCGATGCACACACACACGCACACACACACACACACTCACAGCGAAACAAAACAAAACCAGGATGAACATAAAAAAATTAAAATCTGGCTGTAAAATCCATTTTTTCTGTTCAGCGCTGCCTCGTTTAATGCTAAATTATATTCCTATGCAAATAAGTTTTTTCATTTGATTTTTTCATTAAATCGCGACGATTTGACAGAAAATGTGAAAAAAGAAAAAACAACAAGCGAAACGCTGTAGTCGGATGCGGGCACTAAGCAAAGAAAGGGTTGCCCTCGTCTAACCCCTAGGCCCGGGGCGACGGGGGTAGCGACGCGGACAGGGACACGTTTAGTGTTTGTTTGCCTTGGCTGGTAGTTTGCTTGGGGCAAGTGACGGCGACTGACATCCGACTGGCATCCGACAGGACTCTCCACCACTATAGTATACACACATAGTTGCCGCGGATGAGCGAGGATAACGATGCGTATTAATGGCATTGGAAATTCGAGATCATGGCGAAGGAGGAAGGACCTTAAAAAGATGTTCAACTATGAAACTATGCTTAGTAAATTAGCGGTCTGGGTGAGCATTACTTGTAGAACAATGTGCTTATAATAATTAAATTCCAATATAATGCGCCAGCAATAACGTAGTTTCGATTTTAAGTTTCTAAGCGAACTTATTTATAAAATTGTGTTGAAAAATTTGTTTAGCTTATCCTTAATCTAGTTTATTAGATTAGATTGATTAGTTTATCGTTAGCATATATTCTTGCAGCGTCTTAATTTTTTAATAATATGGTTCTATCTAAAGTATAAAAAGTTTCCCTGTTCTGTACGATTAAGTGGAAACTATGAGGAAAGAATGAAAAAAACTACGATTTCAATAAAGTACTTAAAAAAACAATAATTTCGCATTATGAAGTCGACCAAACATTCATTATTATGGGGCACTATTTGGAAATGCAACTAAGTTGGATTTGTTGAAATTTTTCCATTGATCACAAGTTATTATTTAATATTTACTTTAAATTTTGATCCCCCTCATGGAAAAAGCTGCATACGCCCTTGCCTAGTTATATACTTCAATTTGAAATTAATTGAGATAACTGACAGTTCTAATAGGTTAGCTTATTAAGGTATGTGAGGCCTAAGTTGAAGGTCAAATGCAGCAGGTGTGTAAGGTTAGTTCGATTTCATTAAAATTTCATCTACCCTGCTGCAGATAAATAAAACTTTCACAGGAATTAATTGGCATAATGATTGCACAGAAAAAAAGGAAGCTTTTGAAGCTAAACCATAAAATTGAATTTCTTTTGGTATTGCGGCTTGTGAAAAAATATTTAAATTTGTTTTGTTCAATTTTCTTTGTATTTGAAGAAACATAATGCTGGTTTTTAGACACATACTATATGTAGTTACGTAAAACAGTTTGCCTCATATTTTACCTTCAATTATTGATGAATTCCTAATCAAATCGTACTAAGGCCATAACCTTAATTATGAGCATCCTATTTTGTTGTATATTTATATTTGAAAAATCTGGCCCATGCCATATCTGTTCGATTTTATTCAATAGTATTGATGAATCTTGAGTTGGAGGCGTACACCAATAAATGGATGATTCTATGTGATTTTTCTATTACATTTATTTACTGTTGTTACTGCAATGATACCGATATCGAGTATTTTTATAGCTTCTTTATAGTTCTGGTTTAATTGATTACATACGCCTTGTTCTCATGCAACAGTGGTTTTTGGAGCTGAAGAGTACAGTCCTATGTCCATCGCTGGATATGGTAATGGTATATTGTATTTGGTGTGTAGGATTGTAACACCCGGAAGAAAAATGAGACGAATTCAATTTGCGATGTGAATCATCCTTCCGTCTCTCTTTTTCAGTCACTATTGCTCCGACAGTAGCAGAGCTATCGCGCAGATAATCGTAAGGGAGATAATATCTTAAGACCGGCCGACAGATTTCAGTAACAAATTTCATCTTAAGATTGTAGTCCAAATGAAAAATAAGTGGTATCTGTCATAGGTATCTAGAAATAGTTCGTACGGACACAGTGAAGCTTATCAAAAATATTTACTTTTTTTTTGTGTGCAGACTTTGAAAATTCGTATTTTATACAAGTGTTGCAGGAATACCAATAATGAATTTTGTTCTAAATATGCGCGTGTGGCCGGCTATGGGTAATCACGTCGTTTTCATTAATATTTAAGCCCTTTAGATTAAGTTGCTGTTTCGTTCTTGGACGGCCAATTATAGAGAAATATGTATGAAGTAGTTGTACAAGCGCTTATTTGTCACATTGATGTCTTAAGTGGTTTTTTGTAATGGGACACTTTCCTTTATAAAGGCTGAACTTTATTGGTTTTCAATTGTATCTAGTATCTGTGGCCTCAGTAGTATCTATGGCCTCAACTGAAACCGCCAGCTTAAGCTCTCTGGAGCGGTATCGTCGTATTATATATGTGATTCGTTTGTGCGCTCGCATCTGTGGCGCGGATATTTCCTCGCCGGATTGGCACTGGAGCTGGCTCACTAGATTGATCGTTTCACTGTGCTTATGCTTCTACATTGGCACATTCTACACTATTTATGTGGGCGTGATTGTTCACAAGGATTGGACCATTTTAATGGACGCCGCTTGCTGTCTAGGAGCTGGTGTCCAGGGATTGACGAAGTTGTTCTGCGTAATAGCACATCGCCATGCGCTGCGCGAATCGCAGGAGTTTCTGGATGCCACCTTTATGGAGTATGAGCAGAAGCATATGGGATACCAGCAGGTGCTGATGGATGGCATTGCCATGACAATGCGTGGCATCAATTCATTCGTAGTTTTCAATTGTGTCGCCCTCCTCGTTGTTATTGCGATACCCGCGACGTACTATATTCTTTACAATGAAAAGCATGTGATTATCCAGTTTCTTCTACCCGGCATCGATCCCAACACCAACACTGGTTTTCTAATTCTAAGTGGTATTCATATCGGGTTACTGTCCCTCGGGGCATTTGGCCAATTTGCTGGAGATATGTACCTCTTCGTTTTCATCAACAATCTGCCGATGCTAAAGAACATACTCGGCTGCGGGTTGCAGGATCTGAACGATTTATTGGACGACAACTGCAGCCAGGCAGAACTGCATGCCGAAATGGTGAAAATTGTGAATCTGCATCAGCAATATTTGAGGTAAGATAAGCACTATTGGACAAATAGTTTTCTTTTACATTTGAGGAGATTTCCTAGAGAGTATTGGAAATCATTAAACCAAATGGTTTTGTAGCCCCGAAATGTTTTATTGAGATGCTCTTTGGTGCTCATCAATATTTCACATTTCATTACTTTTCTTGGTTCATTATATTTTGTATGCTGCTATTGATTTATTTAAAATATGCATTTAAAATTTATATCTCCATGTAAGTATATGATAGTCTGTTTCTGTTCATCATGGAGTTATGAAAAATATGAATAGTGGTGGGTACTCAACTATGTGAGATCGGAAAGCTTAAAAATCACTACGATTCAGCAGTATATTGCGAATGGAAAGAACAAAAAAAAACTGATATAAGAAAATGCGAAAGGCGAATATGAAATTCGTTTGTATTCGTACTTTAACATACTCGTATTAGATGAGACTTTCTACTAAACTAAAACCTAAAATATGGCGTGACAGTCGAATTTTCGATAAGGGTACCAATAAATAAGCCGAGCCAGCTGTATACCCTTTTACCCTTTGGGTACAGGGTATGAAAACCGTCGATTGCTTTGGTCTTTTATATTTCTCGAGTCAAGAAAATGTTTAGAATAGTGGTTAGCTGAGTATCTAGCCATTAGACTATAACAATCAAAATATATGTGAGCCCGAGCATATTTTGTTCACTTCTCAAATCAATAGGTAAATACTATATATGTATATACTTGTACATATGTACTTGAACAGTTTATCGTAGGTAAAAATTGCTTGTGTGTTTTTATACCCTGTATCCAAAGGGTACAAGGGTATATTAGTTTTGGGTGAGTGTACATGGTACACACAGATCAGCATGACAAGCCGAGTCGATATAGCCATGTCCGTCTGTCCGTCTGTCTGTCTCTCTGTATGAACGCAAGGATCTCAGAAAGTATAAGAGCTAGAATAATCAAACTTGGTACACAGATTCTCCTGAGCCCGAGAAAGGACGAGTTTGTTCACTTTTAAGAGTTGAGCCTGCTCGACTTTAGCATTCCTTTCTTGTTGTTCTTTGATTTTGTCTTGCAGGTTACTGGAGCATACGCAGCGCATTTTCTTTCATCCCATATTTGTGCAGATCTTTGCGACCGCCTCCGGCATACTCTGCACCATGTTCTGCATGCTGATCGGTGTATGGCCGGGAGCTCCAGCCTACTTGGGCTACAGCATTGTTACCCTCTATTTCTACTGCGGCCTGGGCAACATTGTCGAGTTATCGGTGAGTAGTGGATGTGAAAATGTTGGTCAATACTAGTGGTATACGGTGGCTTTGAATTAGAACGAAGATTGCTGCACCATCATCTACACGAAGTGCCAATGGTATCGGCTGCCAATCCCGTATCAGAAACTGCTGCTGTTCATGCTGCACAAATCGCAGGACGTGCAGAATCTAACAATTGGCAACATGATGCCCCTGTCGATGAACACGGCTGTGCAGTTGTCAAAGGCGATCTATAGTATCCTGATGTTGTTGCTGAGTAGCGAATAATTGAATAAGCATTAAATTGAAAATTATATTTTATTATTGCTGAATATTATTAAACATTATATTCTAATCAATATGCTCACACAAAGACACGTATACTTGTAGACACGAATAGATACGCATAGGCACAATTCCTATTTAAATGTGCAGCTACACCCCTTGACGTGAGTTTAAATACCCAATTTTATTATTATTTTGTTACTTTTTTAATTTTCTAAACTTTTTTCAAATTCTATAAATACTATAATTTACTCGATTTTAGCTTCCGCTTGTTTTTAAATAAACATAAGCGTATGGGAAATTCCCTTTTCTTCACATAAGTGAGGTGTTTTGTCTTCTCTAACACATAATTTAACAATATTTAAGACACATATTTAAAAACATTTACCTTCCTCATTTCTTCAAATAAGTCTAAACTTGGTTAATGATGTCGCAATGTAGCAAGTAGTGATACAAGTAGATCAAAAGTAATTATTTAAGAGTGAAATAAAATGATTGTACCTTCTGGAGATGGCTATTAATTTGCAATCAAATTAATTTAATTCAATTTTAATTTAAGGTCTATATACTTATTGTAATAACTAATAAATGTTCAGCAAGAATTTGTTTGTTTAATTTTAAAGTCTAAAATGTTTCATGAGCAATTCCACTCCAAATGATCGTTAGCTTCATACTTGAAAAACAAAACTTTCCGTTACTAGCATTCATTAGTTCATCATATAAGTAGTTATGGTATGTACTTGTATATATTTATATTTCTCGATTTATTTAAATGAAGGCGTATGTCATGCATGGCGCACCCATTAAACTTTAACCAATAATTATTACTGTATATTATTATATTACTATATATTTTTTTACTCAACTCCTCACACTCGTTTCATACTGTCTCTGTCGCTCCCCGAGTTGAGTTGAAATTTCTATTGATCTTCTAATTGGTTGGCAGCAACCCCTAAAAATCAATACGGAGACGACTCGATAGTTCAGGAGCGCCGCCTGTCGGCAGGTAGTGTCGGAGAAGCAGTGCTTCCAAAACTGTAGGCAGACATTCCCGCAGAAATAACTAATTTAGGCGCCCGTATGTAGGCCATCAGCCTAAATTGTAGCCCATTATTAAGCTCAACTACAAACTCATTACGGCAAAATAAACAGAAAAGAGGCGAGTGGACGAGGACATGAAATGGGCATTTTTTTGAGGTCTCCAATGCTGTAATTTGCATGAAGACTGACGAAAACGATGGACAATTGCGGACTGACCTACTACACCTTGTAATAAGGAGAAAAAGTGCAGCCTACCTCATTTTGGAGTGGGGCGCGTCGATCGATGAATGACATAAGTTGCAAGTTGCAACTTGGCTCCAGGTTGCTCGCCTCCTTGTTGCTGCTGTTGTTGTTTTTGTTGTTGTTGTTACTGACAATGTCAGAGTCTTGCAATTAACACAAGTGCCCGACGCGTTGTCGTTGCTCGCCAGCTCGCCAGCTTGCCGCATTCGCATCCGCATCAGCAGCTCGTTGTCCTTCGCATATTCAGCGCTTTCAGTTGTCGTCGCACTTAATGTTTGAGGCGTGCGTCACAGGCAACGCTCCCTGTCATTAAAATAATGCACACACATGTGAAGTGTTCCAAGCATGTGGGTAGCCAACAAACCAACCAGCCAGCCAGCCCTCCAGCCAGCCATCCCCAGAAACTGGAGTAGGTAGGTGTTTATTAACAGATCGTTTGCCCAGCGTCGTTCTCAGCGTCCTTATCGTCGTCGTCGTCGTCCCTTGTGCACTCGAGTGCTGTTCAAGTTGGCGCTGAAGTGGAGCCGCAACTCTTCCTTTACTTTTTTCGATGGTTGCTGTTGTTGCTTTCTACCGCTTCGAGTCGTCGTCCCCACTGACAGGTTTAATCAGGCGCTGTGCTCGCTGCTGGTGCAGAAAATCAGGCAACTGGCAACCCTTGCTGCCATACGTGTATATAGTATTCGTATGCAGCTCTGAAATATATTTAAAAATAATTATAATAACATAAATTATGAAATATGAAAATTATGAAAAGTTAAACCTCCTCGGCACACAGCAAGAGCCTATAATTAGTCGCTCGCACACTATACTACATATACTTGTACAAGTATATACTCGTATGTGTGCATGTGAATTTGAATCTACATAATGGCCAGGCAAGCGGTCTCTTGGCCCAGTTTAGTTGGCCAACTCGCAGCTTTTAGGCTGATTGCCATCTTTATGAAGACATAACGACGCACACGCGAGCCAAATGCGACAGGGACCGCATTTTACATAAGTTTTTGCGTGCCTGAACATGGTAATTAGAACTCACACCCAGTTCCGACAGCCCATGCCATATTACGGTCCGATGTTTAGGGCACCTTTCTGCCATTTGTGGTAGTTTATGGGCAACATGATGGGCTACTCTACAGTTTTACGAATTTGAATGGAAATCTCACTGATTCGATTAATGGACTTATACTTAGAAAGCATAAAGTAGAAGTAGAAGGACTAGTCTAGAAATACGTTCCACACACAACCTATATTTCAAACATTTGTATTTTATTTTTGGTATACATTTTTAGAACCATAGGGCTAGGCAGCCATATAAGCCAGAAAGCTTTCGCATTTCTAAAAAACGTCAAGATTTTAAAGGAAATTCTATCGAAAGCAATAAAAACTCTTTAGAAACTGAAAGTACAAGTATGCTGTATTGGACATATAGATGTTATTTAAAAATATATATAAGTATATGTGAACCGATAATTTAAATGCTTTATTTGTCAAGAACTACGCACAACCTATATTTCAAACATTTGTATTTTATTTTTGTAGCTATTTTTCTATGGTTAAAAAGCCATATGAGCCAGAAAGCTTTCGCATTTCTAAAGAACGTCAAGATTTCAAAAGAATTTCATATTTTTTTAAGCTTACTTTCGAAATTGGACATACTATAGATGTTATTTAAAAATATATATCAGAATCGATTATTTAAGTACTTAATTTTTAGGACCACCCTCCTGGTCTCTCCTTTTTAAGACAAGTTTACATTTCTTTAAAATGGCATTCTTAAAGTGTAATTTATGATTACAAATTAATATTTATTTGTATAGTGTTATTTATGATTACAAATTATTATTTATTTGTATAGCATAGTTTTGATTCCTTCCTTCAATCGATCAGCACGGTTTGAATTTCTTGCTGGCAGCTTGTCTATCAATATTAATTTTGTCGTTTTTAGTAAAGCTAAAATAAGCTTAAAATACAGTTCTGCTGTCAAAATTAGTCCTTTATAAATACCCGAAATTGATCAACATTTAGGTTAAATATCTTTATGAAACAGAATTATGGCGTTTCTTCCCTTCAATCTACGCGATGTTAAAGCTAAATAAGTCGTAATTGTAGTCACCCCGATTATGTCAGACTCAAGACAAGGTACAAAAATGATTGACGAGGTAGAAAAAGCAGTCTGATCAGCACCGTCTGATCATTAACAAAAAAGCAGAGGATTCTCAGTACAAACCATTTCCTTCTCCTGCCTACAGCAGATTCCTAACTAAAAACAGCATGTCTTATTAAAAGTTGATCATGTCGCAAAAACGCGGTTGCCATTCTTAACAAAACCCTGCTCTACACTATGTTTAAAAGGGCATAAAAATACTTTCACTTTTTATTGCATGACCGACAAAAAAGAGTGCCAAGCACATAAAAGCCCATGAGCCCCAATGACGATTCGCTTCTCACCCAATGCCCGATACTCGGACCCAAGCCTGACCCTCACGTCCTCACGTACCGCAATCGAATGATGATTGGGCCCCGCAGTCGGTGCACTCTGATGGTCGGCGCATTGCATTTTGGGCCGCGTCAAAAATAATTACATTTAATTTGATGTGAATGAATGCGAATGTGGAGCGCGCTCGAGTTTTTGTCTTTGTTTTTGTTTTGTTGAGGCCCGAAAATTGCGGACAACAACATTTCGGCATCGTCTGTTGTCAGCGCTCCTCACCTTTGTTGTTTGCTCAACAGTGCGAATCCTAACGCCGCCGTCCAGTCATCATTGGCAGGGACTAGCACTGGGACTGGGTCTGAGGCTAAGGCTAAGGCTGATGGAAGGTTTCATGTCGCAATCCGTCGGACTCCGCCGGACCATCGCCTGACACGCCAGGTACGCAAAATGGTGCATGTTTACACTGGCGATTATCCCGTTGGCTTTTTGTTTGTTTTCACCCCGTCTGCCATAAAAAGGAGATAATTTGTTGAGCGCGCGCTGGTCGTTGGTTGAGGTCCAAAGATCGATTGAATGCCGATCGTGCAACGGCTTTGTGGCTTAACCAGCTACTTTCATTGTTTGTTTTTCGACCCCTCGCAGTGTCTCAGTGCGTTCGATCGTTAACGCAAATTAACGAGCAATCATCAAATCGAAGTCCAAGTGTAAGTCCAGGTCCAGGCCCAAGTCCCGAGCCTCTGCATACCCCTCCTCTCCTGTGGCTCCTCCTGCCACAGCCAAAGTATTAACAACGTTTATTTCGAAATTAATGCGCAAGTTGGCGCAAAATGCGGTAGCAGCTGCCAAGCCAACCAGCCAACCAGCCAGCCAACCAGCCAGCCAGCCAACGGACTTGCGGTATTCTCATTAACCATTAAAATTACAACGGCAACAGGCAACGAGTCTCTGGTCAGCTGGTTGGTTTAAAGCAGGCCCGACCAGCTCCTGGCCCGGCCTGGGTAGACCTGTTAGTATGCTGGGCATTTACAACATAATTCATCGTCTTCGCATCCTCACTATAATTATGAATAGGCATTTGCAGGCAACTTGTTGCCGTTTATTAATTGCTTTTTAATAATTTCAGAAATATAAAAATTTTACAGTCCGTAAAAATGTTTGCAATTCTGCCATTCGCTGTTAGCCTCTTCTCAAGTCTTGTGCGGCATGTTGTCCAAATTATTGAAATTAATTTTTGCATTATCGAGTTCCAGCATTTTACATATTTTTCCCAAGCACTACAACTTCGCTA